ATTGATGTCTTCCACCAGTACTCAGTTCAGGAGGGGCACAGGGACACCCTGAGCAAGAAGGAGCTGAAGCTCCTGATTGAGAAGCAGCTCGCGAACTACCTGAAGGTGAGTGGAGTCAAAGTGGGGTTTCTCATGGCCAACATAGGGAGGGAGTTGGGCTGGACCCCATTGCCTGAAGATCTCCAGGATTTGGATTCACCCTCTTCCCACTCTGCTCTCCTGCCCCAACACCTTCTGCCTGGACCCTCCCTGTCCAACCATCTCCTTCCAAAGATGTTCCATAAAGGCAGATGAAGGAAACCTGCACAGGTCTGGGTGAGCCCACAGATATTTACCCTCATCACCTTATCTGCAAAAATTCAGGATCATATTGCCTGAGCAGTGGGTGATGGTGGCACAAGGATGGAACCACTCATAGCACCAGGCTGTTTGGGATCTGGCACCTTTGAGAGACCCAGTGAGACCAAGGAGAGGCTGGAGTTGTGAATGAGGGGACTTTGCCCTCACCCTGTCCCTTCCTTTGCAGCATGTGAAAAACAGGGGCACCATTGATGAAATTATGAAGGACCTTGACGTCAACAAGGACCAGCAGGTCAGCTTCAGCGAGGTGATGATGCTGATCACCCGTGTGACCATCGCCACCCACGAACACCTCCATGCTGTTGAAGACCAGCAGCAGCAGCAGCAACAGCAGCAGCACAAGCACCAACACCACCATTGAGGCCTGTAGCCCCTGGCCAAAGGCACCCAGGCAGCACTCGTAGCCCCTGGATTTCTCCCCTCCATCCCTCTCTTTCCACCTCCCTTCTCCTTCCTTCACTTCTGATGGTTTTGCTGCCAAATAAAGATTTACCGTGAGGCTCTCAAAGTCTCTTCTGCGTGTCTGTGTGGGTTTTCCTCGAGGCAAGTCCTGCACCTTACTCTCTCCCAACCATGGCTTTAAACCAGGCAGATCTACCTCAGAGACAGGTTGCAGGTTCTCAGGGGTGAGGTGGACACTTGAGGAGGGGAGGGTTCATTGCAGCAGATGCTCACAATACTCCTTAAGTCAAAATGCGCTTCATAAGTGCCTATAATTTGACAGATCTTTGCATTCCCAACTGGAAAAAAAAAAGCCCATTTTGGGCTCAAAACACTCTGCATGTCTCCTAGGACTGAGCTGCAGTGGTAGGCAAGAGCTGAAAGGAAGGGTGGGGGTGAAGGAGCACGCTTTTCTGAAGGAACACCCTTTTTAGGGCATTTTTGCTCTGCACAGCCCTGGCATGGGGCTGGAAGGGAGCTGGAGGGCGGTGGGTGCGTCCAGTTTGGCTACAGCCAGTAGCCAGGGTTTGTGTGGACAAGAATTGAGAACAACCCCAGCTCCTCGTGCAGAGCATCTCGAGTCTGCACAGAGGAGGTGTCCCCAGTTGAGAGCTGCTTTCCAGAGCGGGTGGCTGGAAACACCTACGATGCTGCTGGGCAGCCTCCCACCCTGCAATGCTTAGAGCCTGGCTACTGATTTGGGTGGGTGGAAAAAGGAACAGTTGTGATTTCCTAAGGGTGAGTCAAAGCCCTGAAATCGCCCCGCTCTGAAGGAACCTGTCACAAGCTTCCCCAAACCAGCAGCACTGAAGCAAGACCACCATCCACCCCCACCGGTTAACACAAGGCTGCCCCAAGCTTGCTTCACCGCGGCTAGCCAGGTTGCTTCAGCTTCCTTTGGAGTCAGTTTTGACATCTGAAGTGTCAAACACCCTCTTACGAGGTGAAAAAAATCTGCTGCAAGGACCAGAGTTTGCTCAGCTCTGCCTGAGCAGGGTGGTAGGTCCCCTCTGGAGCCAAATCCTGCACCCCAACACTCAATCCTGCACCCCATCCTACAACACTTTAAGGTCTTTGGAGCAGGCAGGAGCCCCGCACCCAAGGGAGAGGTTCATTGTCACCACCCTGCCAGGGCAGAAGCACATCATCTCCAAGAGCCAAGCTGTGTCCAGGACCAGCCCATAAGGACACATCCAGCTTTCAGGACAAGGGTGGTTCGGGTCCCATCTGCAGCAGATGAGCTTTTCAGGAGCTCAGCACCCTGTTGGTGGGTGCTCAGCCCTTCCATTCCCTGTGGCAGAGAGGTCTCCCTGTGCTGTGGCCAAGCACACAAATCTGAGTGCTGGGAGCACCCACAAACCACCCTGGGACCTTCCACCAGGATCCAGGCAGGAACCAGCCTCAAAGCTCACAGTGCTTATGCAACAGGATATTTGCCGAAACAGCAGGACTTGATGCTCCCCTGAAACCCAAAGGTGCAGGACTTCTGTTGTGTCCCCAGCCAGGGCTGTTGGACCATCACACTAGGGGTGGTGAAGAATGAGCCATCACACACCCTGAGCACAGAAGGACCAGGACACCAACGCAGGGCTCTGAGCAAGCAGAGACAATTGCCAGGTCCTCCTGTAAGAGCAAGAGCAGTCCCCAAATCCATACACATCCTTTCACCCCAGCAGAGCTCACAGCTCCAGAGCAGACGAGGTGCCAAAGCAACACAAGTAAGGAGGTGCTGATAGTCCCCAATCACACTGCATCCCATAATGCAGAGGGATGCTCGCACAGAGTCGTGGGTGAGGTGCTCTGCTGCCCGTTTGGGGATGGCATATGGGTTCCTCCAGCCTCGCTGCCCCAGGAGCGGTTCTCGGGGGGCAGCCTCCAGCCCCACCTGCCTTCACCCCCACGTTACGAGGGAGGATTCGGCCTCTGCGAGCTGAGGACCAGGCTCCTGCTGCCACCTGGTGGCACGTGCCACCGAGGCCTTTGGGGTGGCCACCGGCCCCGGAACAACCAGGGCAGCTCCTCGATGTCACATCCCACGGACACAGCAGCTGAGCCCATCGATCACAGGCAGACCCCCGTCCTGTGACTCCCACCCTGTTCATCACGTTCCCAGTTTCTACACCACCAGTGCTGTTCACAATTACTAAGATTATTCTGATTTACATGTCAGAAACAAAAAAATGAATTTTTTGGGCTAACTGGCATCATGAGGACATGCATCCATTTGCAAACACCCAAAGCTCCTCTTTCTCAGCCCCCTGCTCAAGCCACCACACGATTTTGCTGGTGAGGGCTCCTTTCTTTCTCAAGGCCCATGGCAGGGGGATTGGAACTAGATGATCTTTGAGGTCCCTTCCAACTCAAATCATTCTACGATTCACTTTCCTTACCTGTGTCATATGGGGAGCAGGAGAAGGAATAAGCACTGTGGTTCCTCCAGGGTACAGGTCAAAGCAGCAGGCGCATGGTGGATGCAGATAAATGCTAAATCCTCCTCCTTTCCCTGTTCGGGGAGATTGTACCCCACATCCCACTCCCTGAGCTTTGCCTCGGTGAAGTGCAATGCCATCATCTTGTGTTTGTACCCAGCCAAGGGTCCCAGCCCAAGGACAATCCTCCCCTAACTGCCACCCTGTCCTGTTCCATCAAAACAGCCCCAGGGTGGCTCTGCCAGCTCCTCAGGCCACTGACCCCTTCACAAAGCTCCCAGGCTGGAGAAAAAAGGCTGAAGCCTCCAGGGCTGAGTTTTATGAACGACTCTGCAACGAGGGGATGTGATCCAGCTGGGGCTGAGCTGTGCCTCCCAGCTGCGACCCATCCCAGCCTCAATATCCCCATCCTGCCTGGTCCCCCTGCCCACCACAGACTCCCTCCACCCACTGTTGACTTCCTCCCCCTGCTGCAGACCCCTTTTTCCCCCACGGACCCCTGGTTGACAGAGGAAGAGTTGCGTAACGCCCAACTCTGTGGCATTTTGGGACTTTGATGCACCATGCACGTTGCCTTCGTTATCAGTCTTAGACACTCGGATAGGGATGAGCCACAGTGGGGTAAAACTGGTTGGTCCTGGGATGCCAGTGAGGCCCGTGGTCAGGAGCTGACCTGCTGCCATGGGCAAACCCATGCCCAGAGCCCAGCAAAGCCACCCTGATGCTGCTGTGGATGGGGACGTGCTGCCGCGGGATGGCACCGTGGTGACGGCAGGCTCGGAGGGAGTAGCCAGCGGAAGGGACTGGCTCTGAGTGATTCAGAGTAATTTTCCTCCTAATTCCCCTCATTCCCTGGGCGGACGTGTACTAATCAGGGCGGCAGCGGCGGAGGGAGGAGTACGGTGGTTGTAGGTGCCATTGCCATGCGTTGCTTTCCCATCATCCTCCGCAAACGCTTCCTGCCTGGTGCAGTGGCTTTTTTGGCCACTCCTGCAGTATCCCTGTTCCTGGGGTCCTTCCCATGCATCATCCCCATGGCAAGGTGATGTTCTTCCAAGGTCGTTCGTATAGAGACAAGGACCCGGCGACATAAAGCCTTAAACCCTGAGCACTTGGCCATTGGCATGACTCCAGCCCATGAGAAAACATTCCTTTGGCTGTGTATCCATCAAGGTCACAGCTGGGAGCAGCCGGCATTCTTTGTCATGGGAGAGGCATCGTTGAGGTGTCGGTTTCTCCATGGGATTTGTGCTAAGCAACCCAACAAGGCCATACCCCAAAAGGTTGAGGGGTAAATTGTGCTGCTGTCTGTTCCTGGTTGCCTGGCCATCCCAAATACAGTCCCCCAGGGCTGGAGCTCTCCCAAAAGCTCCAGCTCCAGGGGACCATAAGTTGCCAGAGCAGCCCCTGGGCTGATCCGACTTCCACCGAAGGCATCCGCGTGCCAGGCAGCCCTTCCTCCAGAAGGCCTGCAGTGACTTGCTGCCTCTTGCCTCGCTGTGCCAGGGTAAAATTTAGCTCTAGACCACAGTCTGCATCTCATTTCCAACCCACTTAATTGCAGAGATGTCTTGTGCCGCACTGGCGGTGTCAGCAGCGGTGTGTGGGCGGCACAGGTCGGCTCCAGCAACCCCTCCTCTCCCAAACACGCTGCTACGAACCTGGCCCTGCCAACGCCACCTGGGAAGGTTGATGTGGAGCATGATCTCATCTGGCTTCGTACTGTATCTGGCAATCTTGGGACGGTGCCCGAGCCCGTAATGAAAGCCGGCACGCCCTTCATAGCAGGGAGGGCTTGTTACACCCCCTTTCCAGGTGAGCAAACCTGGGGTCATTGACTTCTCTGGGACCACACAGAGAATTGGCCGGGAGCCAGGCATCCTGCCCTGGCTGCCTCGCTGTGCCATCGCTGCGGTTCCCGTGCCTTGTTCTTTCTCCGGGAGCCCTGGGATAGCCTGGGCCCATGAGTGTCTTGATGTGCTCCATCGGGACTGAAATGCAGCCTGGTCCCGTGCACGGCTCGATTTGCTCCGTTGGGTTTGAGATGCAGCCCGGTCCCGTGCACAGCTTGGATCATTCCATCGGAGTCAAAATGCAGCCTGGCACTGGATTGCTCCATCGGAGTTGAAATTCACGTGGTGTCTGTCCCTGTCCCATCAAGATGTGTTGTAAGTGACTCTCCCACGGGAGGGAGCTCGTAACCCCGTCGGCCGTGGCCACCTGGGGCTGGGGTCACTGGGCGTCCCCGCACTGCTGTCACTCTTGGGAGAAGGTTGCCCTGTTTCAAAAGCAGCTCAGTGCTCTTCCTCCTTTCTCACAGAAGAAGCTACAGCTCTGCTGCTGCTGTTGGCCGAGCTGGGCAAATGTGAACGCAGTCTGGGCCCAGTAGCAGCCCGTAAGAGACATGTGGGACAGCCTCAAAAATAAGATTAAACCCACCTTTCCTGCAGGAAGTTATTTTGTCTATGACATTTTCTAAGTTTCAGCATTA